TGTGTCAGAAACAAAAAATAAAAAATTCAGAGTGAAGAGAAATTAATATTTACCTGATGAAATATTATATAGTTGAGCTTTTTGATTGAGCTGGGGTCGTCCAATCCAGGCGACAGAGTTTAGACTAACCTTTCTTTTAATTTTTTTATTTTAAAATTTTAAGAGGGTGGTGTTGATTTACCTTTATTTTTAAAAAATTAAGATAAAAAAATATATTAAAATTATTTATTTGAATAAAGTATGATGAAAAAATAACAAAAATGATCACATTTATATTTTTAAAATAATGTATTATAAACTTGCTTATAATGTGTCTTTATATAATTGACTCATTTCATTTAAAATTTTACTATTTACTTGTTTAATATTATATTATGATTATAAAATTATAATTTTATATAATATTATAACTATAACATTATTGTTAATAATATTTTTTTGATGTTATTAATAGGATTGCTAAAAGGACATAGTTTGGGTGATTTTCTCCCAAGTTTCTATCAAGGTATAAACCAAATGGACTTTTCCGAAATTTAATGTATGCGTAGAAAACCACATTTTCAGCATTAGGTCTAGCTTCATTTTCCATGCTTCAATGACGGTCAAGGGTCAACTTCTTTCATTGCCTATTTTCCAGAAAATGTTGGCCAACTTCCTTGCAGGTGAATATTAACTTCCTTGTGATGCTCATTTGAAAAAACAGTGGTTAATGTTGAATGCAGCGTCCCTGTTAATTTGATTCAAGTTCTCTGAGAGAATAAGAACAAGGACTCCATGGAGTGGAAAAGGCTTACGAGTATGCTTAAGAGGAAGACCATCATGACAGGGGCTATTGGCATTTTATTTGTTGCTTCGTTACTTGGTCCATCAAGTGGATGTGATTTTCCGGCCATTTACAACTTCGGAGATTCGAACTCTGATACCGGCAGTGTCTCGGCAGCATTTGATCGGCTTCATTCCCCTTTTGGTGAGACTTTTTTTGGAAGACCTTCTGGTCGGTATTCTGATGGGCGTCTGATAATCGATTTTATAGGTAGGCTTATGACTTCCAAAACCATAACTTCTCTCTTTCTAATTTTGGGTATCAAACAGATTGATGGCAGCTATAACAAGAAGCTGTTTCTGCCAACAATGATTGATGGTCGGAAACCATTGTTTTTTTTTTTTTTTTTTTGGTCGACATTGTTCATGTTTTTTTCCAGTGCTATGGAGTTACTTTGATTCATAACTGTCTTCCATTACCCTTCTCCTTGGATTTTATATTTTAGATAGATGATATTGGGTCCGTGAATCTTCATCCCTATCTTAGAACCAAGAAGATTTGAGAAATTTGAGAAGTTTTTTAATGAATCTGTGCAGCTGAGAAATTGGGATTGCCATTCTTGAGTGCATATCTAGATGCAATAGAATCAAATTTCAGACATGGAGCCAATTTTGCTTCAAGTGGTTCAACAATTGAACCTGTAGGATTTAACCCCTTGTCACTCGATGTTCAGCTTTTGCAGTTTGAACAACTTAGAGGCCGCACCAACTCGCTATATGCTGAAGGTTTGTTGAGTATATATTTTGTGGACTGCTAGATGTAACAAAAATATGCTGCGTTAATTGTGTGCAATATTTGATCCTGTGTTTGATTCACTGTGATGGCATCAGATGTGTTTTCCACTGTTTCAGGTCCAAATTCAGAGATTACAGGCCGACTTCCTAAACCAGAGGAGTTTGGCAAGGCCCTTTACACATTAGATAGTGGGCAGAATGATCTAAATTATGGTTTTGCGACTGCCACAGTCGAGCAAGTAAATGCATCCACCCCCAATTTAATCAATCAGTTTTCTCAGTACATAGAGGTAATCTTGACATCCTTTCTGATATTTACTCACACATATACTGCCTTCCGCATATGGACTTGGAATTATAAAATCATTAATATGCTTTATAGATTAGGCATGACTTCTCTCTTACTGCTTTCTATTTCGAAATTGTATCAGACTCTCTATCAAGAAGGAGCAAGAGCATTTTGGATACATAATACCGGTCCAATTGGTTGTTTGCCTAGTATTGTTATACCTTCACCTCCGAAGCCTGAGAATGCTGATCCGATTGGCTGCATCAAGTCTTACAATGGGGTAGCTGAGGAATTCAACAAGCAGCTAAAAGAGAAGGTTTCCCAACTTAGGACAAAACTTCCAGATGCGAGTCTTGTTTATGTTGATATCTACTCTGCTAAGTATTCTCTAATCAGCAATGCAAAAAAATATGGTAAGTTTTACATTTTCATCGGCCAATAAAGTTCTATAAGACACTGATTCTATCTTGCTAATTCATTTTTAATGCTATCAGTTTATGACATGTTCTTGGTTTGGGGCATCTTCTATATTCATTATTTCATCCCTTCATAATGTTCTTGCTGATGTAGTAGTTTTTTACTTGTTCAACTGATTCAAATTTCTTGTGAGATCTAATTAACATCCATACTCATCTGAGTATTGCAGGTTTTGTTGGTCCTTTTGAATACTGTTGCGGGGACTTGAGTGACTATAAGGTTGCTTGTGGAAGGACAGCTGTGGTTAAT